GATCAACCATTGGGATTTACGCTTTTCAACCAACCAACCAATGGGAATCGTCCTCTTCACAAAGTGACTCTGCAACCTTTCGTAGAGTGCAATATTCGACGAGTTGCACAATCGCGTCGCAGAGTTTTTAGACCCTCATTTTAACATACCTCATACAATGTTCGACTGTATTGTATAGTAAACTGTTTATGCAAACAGGTGGCATTCTGTGAGTACCATACTGTTGGTAGAACATTTTTATGTTTTTTTCTATAATCTTTAATAATTTTGGATAAAATAAACATGATTTTTTTTAGCTACACGTCCTGATAAATATATTGAAAAAAATATGGAGTCATACTGATTTTATTTTGTTTAATATTGATTCCAGTCACTGTGTTTTAAACTGTAATTTATTAATATCATGTCATTTATTATTTTTATCATGTTTTAGGGCATGGCTCGGAGATCAAGCCGCTGCCATTCATGTTGCTAACATTATTGGTAAGTTAAGGCAATCTAGGGGTTAATTGTGTTCTTATACTTTGTAGTAATTAATTAGTAACCATATTAAGCAGACATGGTCTGTGAAATTAGAATTGAATACTCCGATATAAAATATTGTGACTGAGAATATAGTGTATTATTACTGTGATAATTGCCTGGTCGCTGCATGGTAACATATTGTTTACTCAGTGCACTGTAGCATAGCAACCCCTTAAGCATCCTGTGTTCTGTGTCTTTTGATGCCTTTTCTGATGTATGTGTGTTCTGAAATATCACAAATGAGTGTATGGTAATTATTTCCCATCAAAGCTCTTGAATTCTTCTTGGCTTGCAACACCTGAATGGTTTTAATGGTACATTCAAAAAATGCATTTAACAAATATTCGCAAAGATAATTACAAGACTGAGTGCACTTTTCCCTTGACATTAAAATGCATTTGCGTTCTCTTTTTTCTTCACACACAGCTATTTGATGCTGTTATACTTTATCTGTTCATGACTCTATTGAGGGCCAGGGTTGTGATTTACTGTTGCATAACAATAATGTATAATTTTTTTTTTTTTTGAGTAATTTGTTTTGATCAGTTACTCTTTCAAAACTGTGAGCCAGCATATGACTCACCATGTAGGTAAAGCTTTATAAACTAAAGAAGTGTTTGTTTTTCCTTCCTTTTTTCGGTTTATTGATTTATCAATGTAGAACACCAACCTTTTGTACTTTTGTAGCTTCGTGAAATTAATAATAATTATTTAAATAATGTTACATAACAATGAACAGATTACTAATTATTAGATATGCTCAGACAACTATCATCATTATTTTATGAGTAAGATTATAATTATACTAACTATAATAATGATAATAACACTATGTTCATTGCCTATAACAGGTGTCGCACCCCCAGACACCGTACCAAAACAAACATTCCATACTGAGATACCATCAACTACATTCATTACACAACCAAAGGTACGTATTCATGTTTGTACACATTATTGCTGCAATTTAGCCATAGATTTTAGATGGTGATATGTTTTTGGTAAAAAAAACAAAAACGTACAGCACCTCTAAGTAGACATATCTGACTATAGTGTGTGCAAGCCAATTGTGACTAGATTTTTTCCTGAAAAGGCAGACTGAACATAGTCTAACCCTAATAGAGGAGAGAAAGTACTTATTATTTCACTACTAGCTGTGCTCTATTTGTAATTGAACATGAATCTGAGAATTTCATTCTGTGTACTGTACTAGTTATTTATTTATTTGCCTGACTCTGTTATCATTTATGTTATGTCAGAGGTATCTGAAAGATGTGTAATCTTCCTATGGTTGTTTGTAGGTTCCATATCTATGGAGGTCACTAGGTTAATGGGGAGTCATGTGATTTGGCAGTGCTCAGAAACAAGAAGTTAATCAAAAATAGTCTATTAAAAATTGATTGCATTACAGAGTGCATCATCACAATTATCAAAGCAGGTTTTATAAATTATGATGAGCAGAGTATGTTGTTTCAATGTGTTCTGAATAACATAGCTAGGAATCATGGAATACCAATTGACCAATGAGAATGTGCTGTTGCAGCACACTGTTTTATTACCCAATAGCATTTATTGCCAGTGGTTACATGTACATCATTACCTACAACCTACGGTATTTTACTGAGCAAGACCCTCTTCTCTTCTTGCAGCCTCGTGCCATCAACAACTGGGCCATGTTGACTATAGGATTACTTAACAAGTTCTATAAACAGTTAGAAAGAGAAGCAGAAGAAGAGGCCAAGAGACACCTCACAACAAGAATAGATTATTTAGAGGAGTTATTGATACACCATAAAAGTATGTTAGGCATTCCAGTTACAATGAAACCCAGATCTGTAGGTGATGTTGATAGAGAATTTATTCAGCAAAGACTGGTGAGTCACAGCGCTAGTTATTAACCATTCGATGCCAAAGTTAGTTTTTGTCACCATTCACAAAATAATCCTGCGTAAACTTCTGTATCTTTCATAACTTTTCAAGAGTTTTGATCAACATCTGTAGCCAAAGAGAAATTATGTCCATAGTTCTAAAAGTATGAATGGCACAGAAAGTTTCTATGAATAGGTTATAAAATGAATCAGAAAAACTGGCGTCAACGGGCCATGTGCTTAAAAAACATCATGTAGCAAAATCATTCCAACGGATTGTATCGATACTTTTAGATAATGACGAAATTTACGTACGCAATGCATTGAAAAATATAAAACACTGTTGATAGTATCACACAGTATTCTGACTGGTTAGTGGCATTCCTGACCCATCGGGTAAAGGAACACCTCGGCACATCCACTCATGCTACAGAGTTTATGTATACATGCAGCAGTGTATTTTGTTTTTCATTTACAGCGAGATCAGAAATTTCGGGAAACAGGAGAAAAAGACAAACATTTAAAAAGGAGGAACCCAGTACACCACCATTTATACCGTCCCGCATCAGGAAAATCAAGTAACGAGAACATTGAGATGGATGCAGAAACAGTAGATTTCTTTGTACATCCACAAAACCAGTCCAAGGTAATGAATCTTCTCATCGTCTGTCATCACATCCATGTTGTGTTTGATATGGATCCTTTGTGATATATATACCATATTTGCTCACACCCTTACGCGAGTGACAAAGGCATGTCTATTGTCAAAATAAGTTATATTAGCTACGTTCTCACACATCTAAAAAACGCTGGTGTTAACACTGTTTTTTTGTTGTGCAAATATTAGATAATCTGCTGAATTGTCTGCTCGCGTTCCCACTTAGTAAAAACATCGGTGTTTGAGAATTGAATGCTGGCCTTCCACCTAAGATTTCAGGTTTTTCATCCCAAAATGGTATGGTTTTCAGATGTAATCTGGTTTCTTCATCTGACCAGTTCAACATTCAACCTGTAACCTCTGACGCCATCTTGTGTAATAAATAAGCATAAATAAGTCGGAGATAGAGGGCGTTTGGTCGTCGTATTGTGTTCACATGGCACATTGTGTTGTGCAAGAGCCAGTGTGACAACGGCATTTGGGATCTGGTCCACCCCTTTTACGACGGTATTAAAAACGCCGACGCCACAATGGCGTATTCTGTTTACACACGCATTTTAACATCGTTCTCAAACAAAGGCAACGACTTATTTCGTCCAGTGAGAACACCACTATTTTAAGGATCAAGCATGTAATAAAGGTTGACTCACTGCTAGTATGGAGATGTATTTCCTCATTTAATTAAGCTTTGTCTTACTTCAATTATACTACCCTGAATTGAATATACATGCAGTGGCAGCTTGAGAATAACGAAATTGACAGAGTGGTTAGTGCATCGTAGAAATTATTGCAGACAAATATATAGAGATATATCACTACTTTATTGTTGATGGTAGTGGTGGTGGTGAAATTCACAAGTAACATACCTAATTTGAATCTAAACTTCGTTGAGACAAGTGGGATAATTATAGAGACAGATTATCAGTGATATTAAAATTATAATAAATATTTAGATATTTGTTTTTTTATTTATTTCAGGTTGCTAATGGAAACTCTGATGATAAAATTAGGCATGTTAGTTCAGAGCGATATGTCCAGGTGCACAATTGTTTTATTTTATTTTAACTCTGTTCATGATTGTTTATTTCTTCCATCATAATTTGACATGATAGTAACAGAGAAGTTATTGCAACTTTAAAACATTTTATATACCATATTGCTCTCAGATCTGATTACTTTAGGTTTGAAAACCATGCATATTAATTATCCAGTTTGCCCAATTAGAAAATTTTCGATATCACTGTTGTTCATGTACATCCCATAGCAGCTCCTTTCAGTTCTTGAGTGATCTTGTCCTGATGTGCAGTTTTTTTTGTCATCAAAAATAAACTGCTAATATAATGAATGAATGAATGAATAATTAAATAAATAATTAAATAAATGTACTTATATACCTACATATGCTGTAATATACCATACCATATAAAAATTAAATTAAATTTTTAATTTATTTCCTGTCTGTAGCCTGGTTTGTTTGATACAGGTGACATTATACCAGATAGAAAGGTTGGAAAAAGACCCGCTAGTGCAAAAGTACAGCAGCAATCAGATTCCATGAGAGCCAGACCTAAAAGTGCAGGTAAGAATTTAATCTTTGATTAATCTTTGATTGTTTGTTAAGTTCTCTTCTGTTTCATCACCAGTGACCATCAAAATAATTGTACACCAGCGTTCTGATAAATTCTAGTTCTGTTCGTAGTTTCATCAGACCTTACTTTTTGAAGTTAGTGATCACTATTCTCTTATCACTCCCACAAATTAGGAACCAGAAAAGCTAATTATATCCCTCTAAATCTATAAAATAGCACAGCTCCCCTAATCATTTGTAGTACTATATTCAGGAGAGCCGTTTTTAGCACTTTGACCATTTCAGTTATTTCCTCTTCATGTGGATGCACTTTAATGTGTTGAATATTATATGTTGATATTTCAAGAAAAAATAGTTCCTATATGTCTTGACATTATGATGTTTATCAAAGTTTAAAATCAGGGGTAGTTGAATGTCTATGGAACAAGACAAGGGGGGATGATTTTTTATTATTTGTTTTCACGCAACTACTCCACAAAGCACTAAGCTTTCAGATATCTTGATTGAACTTAAATGTTTGCTTTATGTATAATTACACTAATAATGCATCTATTCCACTCTGAATACACAATAACTGACTCCTATATGTAATCCTGTACACCCCTATACTGCAATGGTGCCACCCATCATGACACAGTGTAGTGTAGGTGGTTTATACAAATAGCTTTTATCTGGTCTAATAACTCTGTAATGCTTATGTTCTACTTCCATACATCAAGGACGTCCCTTGCAGCACACCTTTTCTCTCTGCAGTTACATGTATAACTTTAATCTGAATGAAGCCAAATGTAAGCGCTTCTTTTTTTAAAGATCACCTTAAGTATTTTGCAATGTAATACATAGGGTATGCTTTATCTGTTTCAGTGAACATAGTAAATGTTCTATGTGCATGGTATAATCTATCACTGCATGAATACTTTAGTTCTGTTTTTTTTTTTTTAAATATTCATCTGACCCCTGCCCATTGAGATTGATGTGAGGGAAATATTGTGATTTCTATTCTGAAATTTATTTTACCACTCAGATTGTCTTCTCAAACATATCTACACGATGTGACCATATGCAATGTTATATGGTCTAATCAAAGTTGAAAAGGAAATTCTGACAACATTTGCACATTGTATGCGAACAATGCATTTACCAACCTTGCCGTTTAAAAGTATACAGTCTGCAATCAATTTTAGACTTTTTAATTTGATGTAGATGAATAATGTGAACTGTATGGTGTGGTGATCATCACCAATGGGAACCGAAATACAGTTTCAATGTATTTGCCTGCATCAATCCATTTCTATGTTTCCAATCAAAGCCATCGATGTAGAGATAGTTAACCTCTCATGTCTATTTGACCTCCTCCTTATAATTGCCATCTCCTTGATGTACTTTTGTATAGTGCTATACATACAATGTTGCCTCCCTCCCCTTTCCCAAAACAGTCTTTTGGCTAATATGTATAGTATTATAATATGTTAATTACCTTTATTGTATTCATTGTTATGATAATTAGGCCCTATTGTTATCTGTGATTATATAGTTGGGGGGGGGGGTCGTATTCTATAATGGTCTGAGGAGAACCTTGACATGTTGGTATAGCTAGCTGGTATATTATTTTACTGTGTTGTGTCATTGGCATGTTTATCATTGGATGATAAAGTAAGTGCTAGATAGGATCATTAAGTCGATGTTAACCTCAGTATAAGCATATCTCTATTAGAAGCACCAACAAGCTAAAAAAAATGCCTTCTTTGTGTGGGTTTATCCATTAAAGTATGACCTATTTTTGTTGATGCTGGTGTCAGTACTGAATTTACATGGTGTGTTGCTTATCATACCACAAGCATCAAAGAGAATTAGACTGTAATTTAGTCAAAAATATAACTGTTGTGTTTGTATTGTGTTTTGGATGACATAATGGAATATATCTGTCCGAGTACATCATCCAATCTACCATCTTCTTAACTCTATTTGTAGCTACGGTAATCATGTTATAATCACTAAAATAGTCCTATTGTATTGTCACGACTTGTCTGGTAATGCTTATATCAACAAATAATTGCCTTTTTGCACAAAATTGGGCTATGGGTAAACAAGTGTTTTGACTCACAGGACTGTGTATGTGCATCACATCACCAGTGAAAATGGCTAAACATTTTTTTATTAATTAGTTCAGTGCTAGCTAGATTGTATCAGTTTCATTGTAATCCCCTATTGCGACATATGTAACTCTCCAAACAACTTGCCACTCCAGAGTTTACAAGTACCGGTAATTTGCAGCATATACAGATGCGACTCTCAGACCCTAAAAATGTGGCATGCAATTGTTGATAATGTCTGTCTGTCAGCAATCAATTCTGACGAGTCTTAGTATTCTGATATCTTTGTATGTTTTGTTTCTGTTATCAGTGTTGCCTAAATCGGAAAGACCACTGAAATACGAAACCACAAGACCCATCTCTGCTAAAGTCAGCTCAACAACAACAGCAAACCGTGCGAAGTCGGGGAAAGGGAACCGAACGAATGAAGAGAAGAAGAAAAAATCTGTCCTTTATTTTCCCGTGGAAACGACCAATCAGTTTGCTCACAATGATACAGTGTCAGACGATCTGAAAAAAGTACAGCAAATGGAAGAGGAATTCCGGCAAAGAGCAAAGGTGCTTCAGCAAAAATTAGGAATATCAAATGATGGGGCAATATAAGTGAGAAGTGGAACAGTATTATGAGCAATTTATACACATAAAAATAGGAATGCCTGAAAAATAGTGCATTCCTCCATAGAGGGCGCTGCACAGAATCAGACGTCACATTACTTTGTGTGCACTTGGTGAATGTAAAGATTATGACATGAATACGGCTGGTACATATTGATTAAGCATAGGTATAAGTAGTCTGATACAAAGCACTGAAATGAATTGTCCCCTTTGCAGCCTGAACTGTAAGCTATGGTTGCTGAGATTTTTTCCGACTCTGTGCATAGAAATTGATTTTTAAGTCCATTTTAACATAATAAACATTTTATTAATTATTATATAAAAGTAAAAGAACAAATATGCAAGATTTCACTTACATAGACTTATAATAGTATTTGTAATTGGTGCCGTAGATTTCATTTCAGACCAAAACAAAAGATGTACCAAACTGAACATATTCGCAGTTGGGAAAACTGATTTGTAAACCCAGGTTTGCTAATGTCATTTTTGATTTCTTTTTTCCCATTATAAACGAGTATCGCAATAATTTCTAGTTTTTGTTTAATTATTTCTGAACTTTTTGATATGAAGTTCTCTGAATTGAAAGCCTTTCTACATTCATTAGAGAACAACAGCGCCACCAAGTGTTATGTCTTCCTTGTTTGTTCTCAATCTTCTTCCCTAGGTGAAATCTTTCACAAAGAAGTCATGTGACTTGATTGCAAGAGGTTTGCTAACATTCTACTTTAATTAATCTCCATCAGACTAATTCTGAAAACAGAGACTGGTGTATTGACATCTGTGCATCCATGCACGTGTGTGTGCGCGTCTGTGCCTTCTCACCCGTATCTCAGACATGCCTGGATCAATCCCATTCAAACGTCACACAAACATAATGCATCTTAAAGCGTCACAATCAATGATAACTAAAAACACAAAGGCTCATGGGTAGATGCTTGTTTGTAAACAATGACACACTATGGCCATCTGACGCATGCGCAGGTGACGACTCCCCCGCTTTAAGATACATATGTGCACATGTTCATTTGACCAAATGACAACAATTTTCATACTAATAATTCATATACCGGTAAAGTAAGCATTTCTGCCAATTCGAAAACTCGGCCATACATGGGACATAATGTACAGAATAGGACCCTGATGCACATCATCAAATTTAAAATGTTTGACATTTTGCAATAACAAATTCCATTTTAGAGCTGTATCTCTGTCATACCTTGACTGATTAAATAGAACTTTACACTTGCATTATGTTACACACATTGATAATTGTTTCAAGGTCTTTAAGTTTTGTTTAACGTATTGAACTACATGTGTGTCACGTCATGACTTGTTAATAATGTGCTATACTATGTTTCCGTCCTTGGTATGGCATATACATTTTTTTTTCCCAATACATGTTTATACTGCAAAATTGAGTGATACATTCCATACAGTCAACAAGTAATTTACTTATAATTATATACACAAGTAAATGAATAAATTTACATGTTATATTTATGAGATGTATTCTTTTTAAGGACTGTAACATTTTTATTTTGTCTTAATTTTTTTTTTTTATTAAAAGTATATAGTGCTCCAAATGATGAGAATGTCTTTCCTGTTATATCACTCATTAACATGCAAATTATTTGTTATGTCCCTCATTAACATGCAAACATATATGAAACTCATAAATATGCAATTGTATTTGTTACCGGTACTTGTTGCCAATGTATTTGCGCCACTTATTTACATGCAAAGTTTAGTTGACAAATAACCTGTATCAACCCAACCATCTGGTGGAGTAGGAATATAAGATTAATATACCTGGTGCGTGATCAGCACTTTACTGATTTGGGAGTTTTACAGTTTTATGCTGCATAGGACTTAAATTGGAATAACTAAGCAATACAGATTTGTGAAGAATTTCTGTAAAAAAAAATGTAGCCTTCAGTTACAAAATAAAGTTATAAAGACCTGAAAATATCAGTGAATGTTTGAAAATAATGCGTTTTTTTTGTGCACTTTTTGACTCCCAAAGCACATAATGGAAGTCTTTGCTGTTAGTGTGTCTGTATGTGTGTGTGTGTATTTGACAGACCTACCAAGTGACTACCCTTACTATTTTCATAATTTGTATTAATATTAAAATTTAATTGCATTTTCATCACATTTTATTGAAATGTGGTTCATATATGCTTTAGGGGAATACACAGACATAATTAGTTTAATAATGAAAACGTGCATACTGATTATATAATTCGATTAGCTAATTTCTGGTATCTGAACTTGTGATAGAGGTGCCCTGGAACAAATTAGACTGGAAACAAACCACAAATGTAAAATCAAATGTATATTCTGTAAACTTCAATAATGTGGATCACATTATTTTCACGTTTTACATCTTAAATAGCAGACACATTAGTTACCAAGCTTCCTGTTTGAAAGGCTAATTAACATTGACACGTCCAACTATTGTGACACCGCTTCATGCGTTGTATTGCTCATTTGCATGTTAAAACGGGAGGGTCGTCACCTGCGCACGCGCGGGAATTGAGTCCTAAGCGATGATAACAACAAAGGCGTATGGGTAGACGCTTGTTTGTAAACAACGACACGCTATGGCCATCTGACGCATGCGCAGGTGACGACTCCCCCCGCTGTAACGATTATAATACGTTTTATCTGTACATTTGTATAAAGTGACTACTACATAAAACATGTTCTGATCGTACTGTACTGTACCTTTCAGAAAGTTTGTCTAAAGAAACGACTCGCCATGAGGGTACCTTTCCGTTGTGCGATTCGTGCCTTTGAGCTGGAGAATCTGATACTTAATTGAATCCCAATATGCATACGCTTGAATGAAATCAGACATTGTACTTTATTGGCTGTATCGAAATCCGATAGTACGTTCTTTTTGAAATGTACTTTTTGACAATATTTCTATTTATACCAAATAGTTAAAAATATGTAATTAAAAAAAAATCAAACTAATCTGTAAATATATCTGGATTGTTCAAATTAAAGGGTGGTGGTCGTCGCACTGCGCATGTGCGACATTTGTGTTGATAAACATCGACTTTCCCCACAGTGCAATGTGCTCTTCTAATGGAAATTACAAGTTTGAGGTTTGACCTGGGCGCGAATTGAACTAATTACCGCTGGTGACCCTTTTAATACCTTCCAATCACCTAAAAAATGACCTAATTAAAGCATGGTGACGTCTCAGTTTGTACTCGTTGTTTTGCGCAACAGTCAAAGTCGCCATCTTTGTTTATATGAGAGTCAGTGAACATATCTTGAGTGGGTTTTATTTAAAAGTATACATTTTCAAGAAGCTGTCATGAGAAAAAAATACACGTTTTGTGTCACGATTTACTCGAGGAATGAAGTTACGAAAAATATATTTTCGAGTGTGCCAATACAAAATCCGAATGAGGCGCGTGTCCACGAATGATGAATAGGAAACGACTCGCCCTAGATGAACAAATTGCTATTTTCGGTGGTACAGTGCCCAATGGCATAACTTATTTAATGGTACAATAGTTCAAATCATGCCGTTCTATTATCCAATATCCCAGCTTCACAGAAATGCACACGTTGCTATGGTTACATTTGCAGAAAATCATAACTATGGATGGACTGAAAACGAGGTTTATCTTTTCTAGTCAATACTAGTCAAAACTGAATAGCACATTATGCCTGCAAAAAATCGCGTCACGCGTTATAGGAAAAATACAAAACTTTATTTCATTTATAAAATTCAAACATAAATATTCTTTCACAGAATATATGAAAAGAATTCACACGGTCTGTAAATAAATCAATGAATAACTTCGTCTGCAATGTAAATTGAGAAATACATATTGACATACAAGACATAAAATTAGTGCGATTATTGTTATCAAAATATCTAGCAATTATGCTAATCGTGCGAATTCTGAACGTTTGTATCGAGATTGATGTCTCGTTCTGTGCTGATGTCACTAACAGAGTAACTAAGTAAGGACATTAAACTCATAGTTGCTGTCGACATAGGAAGTAAAGTAAGCAAATAACACCGAATAAACGGCAAGGTAAAGACTATGTCTAATTATAGTAAATACGTACTGCGTGCGTGACTCGAACCGGCGCTCGCGTACGGCACCTAATCGCCTAGCTTCACGCCACTACACGTCTTCCCCTCGGCCACCGGGCATCCCCAAAAAAGGATGCTTAATAACCGAGCTTATTACGTGCAGAGAACGTGAAACCCGTCCACGCGATACGCGCCACACAGCATGGCCAGAATGCGGCAAAGGCCTTCAGATCTGGCTGTAGTAGGATGGTGAAAGTAATGGTACAGCATTTTAACAGTGAATAAGTACTGAGAAATAATTTTTAAACTCATAGTTGCTGTCGACATAGGAAGTAAAGTAAGCAAATAACACCGAATAAACGGCAAGGTAAAGACTATGTCTAATTATAGTAAATACGTACTGCGTGCGTGACTCGAACCGGCGCTCGCGTACGGCACCTAATCGCCTAGCTTCACGCCACTACACGTCTTCCCCTCGGCCACCGGGCATCCCCAAAAAAGGATGCTTAATAACCGAGCTTA